TTTTGCACATTGGGGAGAATTTTGTGGTATCGAACCCATGACCTGCTAGGCTTCTGATGTTTCTAATGTTTGACTGCTAGGCTTAAAAAGCAGAATTAATTTCAGAATGACCAGTTTTAAATGGCACAGGCACAGGACGTTTTAAAGCAACTTTGTGTCGAGTGAAATGCATTAGTTCTGCAGGATGACAAATCAGTGTCAAGTTTGACGACGAAGGACCAATCAGAATGAAGCTGGGGGCGGGACCAGCACTGTCTTCACTCAGTGTTTGTGTGGAGGCTCTTCTGATGCTGACCCGCTCTGAATCCTCTCTGCGCAGACAGTGCAGCTCCTGCAGCATGAGGACGGCCGTGGCTCCGTGTTCGTACGGCAGATAGAAGAGCTCAGACAGCAGCGTCAGGTCGTCCAGCGTCAGCGGCTCGGCTGTGTACAGCGGGGTGTCTTTGGGTCCTATCAGTGTCAAGTTTGACGACGAAGGACCAATCAGAATGAAGCTGGGGGCGGGACCAGCACTGTCTTCACTCAGTGTTTGTGTGGAGGCTCTTCTGATGCTGACCCGCTCTGAATCCTCTCTGCGCAGACAGTGCAGCTCCTGCAGCATGAGGACGGCCGTGGCTCCGTGTTCGTACGGCAGATAGAAGAGCTCAGACAGCAGCGTCAGGTCGTCCAGCGTCAGCGGCTCGGCTGTGTACAGCGGGTTGTCTTTGGGTCCTGGAGCGTAACCGTCCGTCTGCATCGGCTCCTCGTCTCGTTTAGAGCGGCCCCCGCCAGCGCCTGCGCACAGGGGCATATTACTGAGAAAGCTTCTCGGATAATTAGGATTGTTTTGGATTCTAACATTACTATGAATGCAATTAAGCACAAAAATCTGGCAGGTGTTTTTTGATTCTCATTATTCTCATCAGGGTTATTGTTGTTAATTACAACTAAAACCATAAAAACATTCCATTACTTGAAATAAAATAAACAGTAACTTTAACTTACTATATTTCTCATTTACATTTCATTTGAAGTACTAAAATAATTAAAACTTATATAAAATAATAATAATAATAACACAAATAAAATAATAATTAAAACTCAATAAAATTACTAAAACTAACTGAAATATTAATGAAAATATAAAATAATTCAAAACACTAATAAAAACTATATCAATGATACTAAAATTCTGTTCAAATTACATTCATACAATGTTTTTTTCAATTCAGAATTGTTTTTAAATAAGAAATTCAGAAATACTTCAATAATTAGTTTGCATTATAGTAATGAGAATTTGTGGGTAAATGTGCTTCATTTGCATGAAAATAAATAGGCTTCTTCTCAGAAAAACATGCTTTTCTTATATATTCTGGGTGAAATATGAGCGTTGTATATGGTCTTGTGAGATTCATTAAACATTAAATACAGTGTGTCCTGATTGCTTTTGTGTTTAATTAAAAGCTTGTCATTATAGTATCACTGAAATACTATTATAGTTTTTGTTCATATTTTTAATTAAATGTTATTTTTATATTTTCTGTTTTCATTTTAGTATTTTTTTTAGTAGGTTTAAAAAAAAAATCTATAGTTTTCATTTTTAGTTTATTTATTTTAGTATTTCAGTATATGGAGATTGTTGTCTTGGCAACCACCTGAAACAAAACTGACTTCATATCAGTTCATGTTTATTTTATATCAAGCAATGAAATGTTTTTATGGCATCTTTATTAATTTATTTACCGTCAGGTTGATCAGCTCTGCCAAACTCAACCAGCCAATCAGAGAGCGCCAGCCGCAAAGCCTCATGGGGGTTGTAGTCCGAGCCCTGATCGTCTCCATCTGTGGAGCGACGACATCATGTCACAGACATTATTAATAAACGATGCAAACGCTGCCGTTACGTTTGAACAGAAGCGATCTTTTACCCATAGAGACGTCTTTCTGTCCGTAGCTGCACCACGAGGCCAGCGTGTGAATGGCCACGAAATTAAGCTCAAATTCACAGTTGGGGTTGGTGAGGACGCCTCTGAGTTTGGGGATGAGCTCGGTGGGCCGGTTCTTGAAGGGTCCCAGGAACAGTCTCTGCGGGTCGTAGTCGTTAGCGTGGATGTTATCCCAGATGACCGGCGGCCGCCGCAGAACGGCTGACACCTCCTCTATAGACGCCACACTGATGTCCTGGGACACCACCTTCGGCCCTGACGGGACAGAAGCACAGTATGCATGTCAAAAAAGTGCCTTTATACCACTTTCACTGCGATGCATGCATGCATTCATGCATTTAGTTCAGTGCACTAGTGATGGGTTCGATTCGCAGGGAATGCATGACTCTGAATGCAATGCAAGTCACTTTGGATAAAAGCGTCTACCAAATGCATGAATTTCACAGAAAAACTCATGATGTTACCTGTCCAGAGAATGTCGATCCCAGCGTTGAGTTTCTCACCGACTGTGTTCAGATACGCAGACAGCGGCACGCTAGGAGTGCAGAACGCAGCGCAGTAATCTGCAGAAACCAGAGAATGCACGGAAATAATGAAGTGAGAGTTTATCGCTGTTCGGTTGAGTTTTCCTTCTTTATTTTGCTGTGCTTTGAAGAAACGGTCAAAACTGAGAATGATGGTCAAGCTGGAGGAAAATATGGGAAATAATCTTTTGCATATTATCAGATTAATTTTAAATAAAAAAAAATAAAAATACTAAAATGAAAAATAACTAAATATTTGCATTATAGTAATCCGAATTTGTGAGTAAATCAGCTTAATTTACAAATGAAATTAAATCCTTGAAGGTCCTAAAAATAGGCTTAGAAACAAAAGATGTTAACATAATAATAATGAAATGAGAGTTTATTAAGTGTTTGGTAGCGTTTTGGTTCTTTATTTTGTAGTGCACTGAAGTAATGATTAAAATATGTGGCCCTGGAGCACAAAAGCAGTCATAAGTTTATGATGCTTTTTTTTTTTTTTTGCATCATTGCTCTTTTGTTGATTTTGATTGCTTCCATTGTCCTCATTTGTAAGTTGCTTTGGATAAAAGTGTTTGATTATTTTTTTTTAATTAACTGAAATAGTTTAAGTTGACGTAGTAAATTTATTAAAACTCAAACGATAATGAAGCTACACAGAAATATTTAGAAAATAACACAAATTACAAAAGGACGTGACATTCAATTATTCAAACTATGCTACAAAAAAAAAAGTTAAAACAGAAAAATGTAAGTAGCACGGGTAGCAATAGCCAAAAAAAATATTGTGTGGGTCAAAATTATTGTTTTTTCTTTTATGCCAAAAATCATTAGGATATTACGTAAAGATCATGTTCCATAAATATATTTTGTAAATGTCCTACCATAAATATATCAAAACTTAATTTGTGATTAGTAATATGCATTGCTAAGAACTTAATTTGGACAAATTTAAAGGCGATTTTCTCAATATTTAGATTTTTTTGCACCCTCAGATTCCAGATTTTCAAATAGTTGTATCTCAGCCAAATATTGTCCGATCCTAACAAACCATACATCAATGGAAAGATTATTTATTCAGCTTTCAGCTGATGCATACATCTCAATTTCGAAAAATTGACCCTTATGACTGGTTTTGTGCTCCAGGGTCACATTTAGTCAATTCAGGTTATTTTGTCAAGGAAGGAATTTATTTCAAGTATCACTGAAATACTATATTATAGTTACTATATTAATTATATTATAGTTTTTGTTATTTTGTAATATTTTGCATACTATCAAATACATTTTTTTAAATAAAAATATGTAATCAATCAAATATAAGAATAAGAATTTGTGGGTAAAAGCACAAATTCATAGAAAAATTGCATAGAAAAATGTATAACAGCTAAGGGGCGTTGTTAGGCACGACGCAAAGCGGAGTTTATAACAGAACCCCCTTAGCTGTTATAAATTCACTGTAAACCACGGCTTCACGGGGCTTATTGCTTTTATAAAACGGTTATTCCATATACGTAGTAAGGTTTCACAGAATAAAACAGAGCAAATAAAGTGTAATGATATTAATAAAAACAGTATTCTTCCACCAAACAATGTAGCTCCTCAGAAACAGTTGTGGTTGCTACAAAGTGGTTGCCGAGCAACACACAAACGTAAACAAAGGTGTATGTTACTTTGTAGAGTCATTTACAACAGCTTCGAACGCGGCTCAGCCAATCAGAATCAAGCACCGGAACTCTTTGTTTTATAAATAAAAGTTTATTAAGTGTTTAGTAGAGTTAGTTTGTTGTGCACTGAAGAAACGATCAAAACTGAGAATGATGGTCAAGCTGGAGGAAAATATGGGGAATTCTGGTAATTTTGTGGTTGTTTTAGTATCACTGATGTACTGTTTTGAATGAGACGCCTGTGTTTACCGGTGGGGCAGAAGAGGAAGGTGTGTGGCTCCTCCAGATGCAGAAACAGCTCGTTAGTGACGGACACCTGAGCTTCAGCAAACGAGCTGAACGCCTCTTTATCAGCCAGACACATTTCTGTCTCGATGTCGTCAAACAGCAGCGCGAACGACCGGCAGCCGAACCCACACACCTGCACAGAATTCAGAAAGAAATCACTTCTAGTAAAAGATTCAATAAAATAGCTGATGACTGCTTTCCAGCGGTCTGCACCTGGCTGAGCTTCCTCTTGAGTGCCGTCAGCTCTTTAGGGTTTGAGAAGGTGATGTCCAGCCCTGGAGAGATGGCATAGATGAACTCCACGCTACGCTCCCTAGCGGCGGAGATCAGCGTCATCAGCTGCTCTGGAAGACACAACCAAGCGCCTTATCTTCAGAAAATACAGCCCTGCTCTGCTTAAGGTGATCAAGATGTTTGTGGAGTAGGGTTTATGTTGTTGTTTTTTGCTGGTCCAAGCTTTTATTCACATATGAGCACTTACACACTTACAAAGAGCGCATCAAATATGGCAAACCCAGAAGCTCAGAATTAAATAGTAATTATTATTATTTAATTATTAAATAATAAATGTATTATTATTATTAATTTATTATTTAATCATTATTATTTAAAACCTTTTCATAATAAAATAAATATAAATATATATAAATAAATGTATTTAACCATTATTATTTAAAACATTTTAATAATAAAATAAATATATATAAATAAATGTATTATTATTAATAATTTATTATTTCACTATTATTATTTAAAAGCTTTTAAATCTTTGTAATCAGGGACAGAGAGCAAGCATAAGTGTCTAACATAATTCAGTATTTTTGGCTAAGCAGAAACATGAATATTTCTATTCTGGTTAATCAACAGTACTTTGGTTAACTGTTTTATCATATCTTACATGTAATTGTTTAAAAATCTATTTTGCACTCTATTAAGCAGAGATGCACAACGTTTTTAATACAAAGGGCCAAAAAAATCAAACTTGACTGAGGGCTGTGGGCAAAAAGTTAATTTTGCATTATATCTAATTATATTATGTTAAAATGCTTTTTTTTTTATTAAATCATTAAACAAAATTTTAAAAAAAAATTTTTTTTTTTTGCATTTCAATGCAAAAATTTTACAACAAAAATATAAATTATTTTTGAAGATTTGCTTCAATAGCATGTTTTTCCCCTCTTTTCCCTGCATGCTAGGCCAAATCAAAGTTCAGCGGGCTCTGGTTTAAAGTACTGTGAGAGTATTCAGTATTCAGTATTCAGTGCTGTGCATCAAATATCAAATTGTGGCATGAGTGTATTGTTACACCCCTAATACAAATACGTTTAAACTGAATGCAATGTAGGTCGTTCTGCTAAATGCATGAATGTCATATTTGACTCGTCGCGGTCACCTGCTTCCTCCAGTGAATACAGATCCCTCCAGTACATCCGGTGTTTGTAATCATCTTTTGGTGCGTATAGATACGCGTTCAAGCCCCATCTCTGCTCCCTATGAAGATAACACCACGCACACACAGAGAAGAAGTGAGATAAATGAGCTGATAAGAGCTGATGGCATGTGATAAGAGCGGTTCATTCACCTCCTGAAGAGCTCTTTCCTCTGGCTCATAGTCCACGGCCTCCCGTAAAACCCTGCAGCACACAAAGCTCACGTCATACAGCCGTGCTTCAATACAACCTTCAGAAATTAGGCTTACATCGAGAATACATGCAGCTCTGTCACAACACTTACAGTAATGCATAATATGGAAAACTCTATAAATTGTGTATCTTGTTTATATATAATATGTCCTGCATTTATTGTACATTCTGGGCATCATTATTAGAATGATAATATCACTAGAATATCATAAAAAATCGTGACTGCAATTTATAATATGATTAAAAAATTATATGTGATGCGCATGTTTTAAGGGATTCACAATTTGGCCATATTATGAATATGGCTTTAAAATAATAATAATAATAATAATATGTATTATTATTATTACTCATACTGATACTAAATAAAAACTAAAATGGCTAAATAAAAACAAAAAATTACTATCATAATATTTTACTGCAAAATAAAATTATTATTATTATTACTACTACTAAAACTGTAACTAAATACAAAAAAATATTACTATAGTAATATTTTACTGCAAAATAAACATTATTAATTACTAAATAAAATAAATATAACAAAAAATAAAACAAAATGACTAATTTGTAATCACATTACAAACGCATTAACCTTACCATTAATCATTTATGTTATCATAACGTATATTTATGTTATGTTACACTTTTATTATTATTATTTCATAGGTTTTTAGTGACTCACCCTCGACTACTCCACTGAGGAACATCTTGCATTTCTTGGACATGATTCCTGGTTTTGCTGGATGGGTCTGAACCGCTCGACGAGGTCTGTGGATCTGATGACACGGAATCAGCTGTTTTGGATTTATGTTTATGTTTATAGTCTCTCTACTTCCTGATTGTACGCGAGGTCACGCCGTCAAATAAACCCCGCCCACCCGCGCGTAGCTCCGCCTTCCGCAACTCTACGGCTGTTTGAGGTAACGTTACTCCACACAAATTAACGATGAAATTATTAATAAAAGGCACGAGAGACTACACTACATTAGAAATTATATTATAATTGCATGAATTAATGTCAAATGTGCCTTTGAAACGTTTAAAATAACAACGAAGTGAACTTAAACACCGGTTTGAGTGCATGTTCGTTTTAGTCACGAACTTATACAATGGAAAACTGACAAATTATTAATAAAATGTATACACCCAGGTGTTTATTCTTCGCCTTTCCGTAGAATCTTACAAACTAAACGTGTTTTCTTGGGAATGTTGTTTTAATTGGTAATTAATTTACAGGTTTTCCGTTCTGTAATGACGTCGTCCTCCCTCACGTGACATCGTTTTCGCGGGAAAACAACAGTAACGTCAGTAAGTACTATCTGTGGATATTTGATGAATTCTCTGATGTTTGATCTATTATTTGCTGCAGGATCTTTTCTCTTCACTTCACTTTTCTTTAGAATTTTTAAAGACTTTTTGATTATTAGTGGAACCAGAGTAAAACTTAATATTATTAACACGATCCACTAACTACAAACAAACAATACTACAGATATTATCGTTTCAGAATCAACAAACGTGTCAATTTTTGTTATTATTATGTTTATTTGTACATTTTACAGTAAATGACACCTGCTTTAATATTTAATTGCTTTTTTGTGTGTAAAATAATGACATTCAAACATTTTCAAGTGACTTAAGTGTCAAAAAAATCAACAAACGTGTCAATTTTTTTTATTATTATGTTTATTTGTACATATTTTACAGTAAATGACACCTGCTTTAATATTTAATTGCTTTTTTGTGTGTAAAATAATGACATTCAAACATTTTCAAGTGACTTAAGTGTCAAAAATACTTCTGGAATTATTGCCCCTTTTATAATATGCACACCTGAATAGATCCCAGTATGAAAAATAATTAAAATTAATAATTAAAAAAAAGGTTACAGTGTGACTTCTATGTGTAACGTCATAATAATCTTAAGAAATAATGTTATATTTCAATTATTTGTATTTTTGGAATGTTTTCTAGTTTTATTTTGTTTATCAATGTTCTTTATTTGTCGCAAACAAATTACGTTACTTTTTTTTTTATTATTAGTTTTAGTATTTTTGGGCTGCCATGTGCTATACTAAACCTGTGCAATTACCTAACCGGCATAATTACATTTCTCAATCTAGTGTTATGTAATATAATAATTAATATGTAATATAAATCATATATATATATATATATATATATATATATACATAATAAATTATTATAATAATTATGTATCATCAAAAACTAAGATGAATAGCAGATGACTGAAATTATGTAATATAAATCATATATATATATATATATATAATTAATTATAATAAAATTATTATAATTTTAATATAATCATCTAAAACCAAAATGAATAGCAGATGACTGAGATAAATGAATCTCTGAGCAGTAGCAGACATTTACAGTGTTCTGAGTTTAGTGTAAAGAACAGAAGTCATTCGTTAATACATAAACATTTTTATTCAGGTACAGTATCGTCATTCCAGCTGAAGAACAGGGTTTTTATTTTTTTGGTATCACTTCAAAAAACTCAGGCTATATATATATATATATATATACTGTAGAAGACAAACCATTAACCATTCAATTGAGTTGAATTTCCTTTCATAATGACAATTTCATCTTTAATGCCGCTCCATTCTTATGTACAAAATGTATTGAGCACAAGCACTCCAACAGAAGTTTTAACCGAAGCAAAGTCAGTTTTAGTGAAGTTGAAAAATAACAGCTTTTCCAGCTCAAGCGCAGCTCTGGACACCATCTGTACGGCTGTGATTCTCATTTATATTAGTTATTACTTAATAGAGCTTAACTTGTATTTAACCCAGAATATTGCTTTAAACCAGTGTGAACCGGCTTAGATTGTAGACTGAACTGAACTGGTCGTTTAAGCTGGTTTCTGGTGTGGAGTCTCTGATCTTCTGCGCTGCTAACTCTTCAGTCCTCTCTGAGCCTGTTTTAGCAGCGCGTCGAAGTCGAACGACTCGCATCGGCTCCTGGATGTTGGAGCGGCATCCCGGCTGGAATCTAGACGACAGAACAAGAAACCAGAAATGAGGCTAAATCCAAAACATCCTTGTTTTTATGCTGCATTAACGCATCAGTGTCACAAAATAACCGTTCTGATTGGGGAAAGAATCCAATTGAGATTTTTCTGATAAGAATTGTGATTATATATCCCAAAATTTAATTATATATCAATATAGCTATAAAATAATAATAATTATTATTATTACTACTACTACTACTAAATTAAAATGAATTACTAAAAGACAAATAAAAAATATTAGTATTGTAATATATCACAGTATAATAAAAATAGGGTATTTAAGAAAAATAATCGATTAATTTTATTTTAAAGTACAACTGTAAAATTACAATATTACTATTTATGGCTCTCTTAAGTTCTTCATTTTCAAACGTTAAACCATCAGTGGTAATTAATATTATTATTAAAAATTGTTTAAGAAAAATAATATAATAATGATAAACTTTATTTTACATTACATCAAATAATAAATAATAATAAAATTGAATAAAAAATAAAAAAAATAATAAAACAATAAAATTGTATTAAGTAAATAAAAATTACAATAAAAATTTAATATTTATGTCTATCTTCATTTCTTCATTTTAAAACGTTAAACCACTGATTATTAATAAAAAAATTACAAAATAAAAACAATTTCTTTTTATATTGTAATATAAAATAATAATAATACAAAAATTATATAAACAATAAAAATGTTGTTTTTGAGAAAAATAGTGTTATAATAACAATTTTATTTTACATTACAGCTGTCAAACGTTAAACCATCAGCGGTAATTATTATTATTATTAAATAAGAAATATTAATATTGTAATATTTCACTGTAAAATAAAAATGAAGAAAACGTTATTTTACATTACATCTGTAAAAATTACAATAAAGTTGTATTAAAAAAAATTAAAATAAAAATTTAATATTTATGTCTGTCTTAATTTCTTCATTTTAAAACGTTAAACCACTGATTATTATTATTACTAAATAAAATTAAAAAATTACAAAATAAAAACAATTAATTTTGATATTGTAATATAAAATAATAATAAACAATAAAAAATTAGTATTTGAGAAAAATAGTGTTATAATAACAATTTTATTTTATATTAGAGCTGTGAAATGACTACTGATATTTATGGCTAATTATGTCCTAATTTCTTCATTTTCACTCTGAAACACGCAGCGCATATATCTATTTAATTAAACCCTAAGTCAATGTGTGATTTACTCTGTTACTCTTAACAGACAATGCAAAACTGTATTTCTCCTCATATCAGCTAAAAACACCGGCACAACAAAGTAATATGAAATGAGAAATCGTTCAGGAGACCAACCTAAATCTGCATAGTTGGATTTACAAAACTGTCGTCTGCCGCCAAAGCAGATGTCGAAGGGAAGCTCGTCTGGGCGCCTCAGTTTACCGCCGCTCTCAATGGCAGCGTAAGCGTCGTCTGTGCTGTGATACGTGACGAAGCCGTAGTTGTCTCTACAAGAAGAGAACAAAGACAGAAACACACTGAGAAAATATATCAGCTCAGATTACAGAAGCCAAAGCTGAGGCTCAAACACTTAAGTTTTCTGACAGTGATGCACCAAAATTAATGACATCATTTAGTATTAGTACAACTACTGAATGAAAACATAAAAAAGAAAAATAAGAAATATTACTATTGTAATATTTGACTGTAAAATAAAAAATCGAGTATTTAAGAAAAAAATATATTTTACACTACAACAGTAAAATTACATTATTAATATTTATGGATGTCTTAATTTCTTCATTTTAAAACATTAAACCATCATTATTACTACAACTAAATGAAAACCTAAAAATCACTCAATAAAAACTACTACTAAATTACTAAATAAAAATAATAAATATTAATTTTGTAATATTTTACTGTAAAATAAAAAAAATTATTATTACTACTACCACTTAAAAACATAAACATTACTCAAAAACTACTACTAAATTACTAAATATTAATCTTGTAATATTTCACTGTAAAATAAAAAAAAATTGAGTATTTAAGAAAAAAAGATATTTCACACTACAACAGTAAAATTACATTATTAATATTTATGGCTGTCTTAATTTCTTCATTTTAAAACATTAAACCATCATTATTATTACAACTAAACGAAAACCTAAAAATTACTCAATAAAAACTACTACTAAATTACTAAATAAAAAATAATAAATATTAATCTTGTAATATTGTAATAATCCACTGGTCATGACATTCCGGTGTTTGTATTTCATATTCCTCATTTTAGTGATTGCTCGGGATTTATTAGGCATTTACGGCCAGCAAAGCAACAGTTTAGCGAAATTCGAATAGTGTTTTTATTTTCCGAATAATTATTGCAGATAGAATATTCGAATATTCGTGCACACCCCTAATATAAATAAACTTGCCTTGTTGCAATATTTAACTTTTTTTACACTACAATTTACACTATCAATTACACAATTTAAACCATCGATTACTACTATTATTACTACTACTAAAAAAAAAAATTACTAAATAAAAACAAAAGATTCACTGTAAAATAAAAAATGTAGTATTTAAGAAAAAACTATTTTACACTACAACAGTAAAATTACATTAATATTTATGTCTTAATTTCCTCATTTTAAAACATTAAACCATCATTATGAGGGGAAGTCGTGGCCTAATGGTTAGAGAGTCGGACTCGTAACCCAAAGGTTGTGGGTACGAGTCTTGTACCGGCAGGGATTGTAGGTGGGGGGAGTGAATGTACAGCGCTCTCTTCCACCTTCAA